CACTCAGCTCAAGGTGCCGTGTTCAATTGCAGTTATGGGTGGGCATAGCCCACCATCCCATGAGCGAGTCGAACCGGCAACTTTGTTGTTAGGAGCACATGCTCTCACCAGCTGAGCCATCCTGCCATCTGTTGGCAGCTCAGCTTGGGCGCAGCTCACTGGACCATGTGGGAATCGAACCGGCGACCCGGTTGCTCAGAGTCACACTCTTTACCAACTGAGCCATTTGGCCGGCCCCTTTATAACTTAATTTTAACTATTAATAAAAGCAACTGAAAAAGAACTGCTTCCCAAAAGTGGTTTCTATCATATTAATATTTAATTCAGGGCCGAGAAACCTACAGCCCACCTGTTTGGGGCCAGTCTGTGAGCTAAGAAATGTTTTTACATTTTTAAATGGTTGACTCCCCCCCCCCCGCCAAAAAAAAAAAAACCCAAAGAATATTTCATGACACGTAAAAGTTACATGAAATTCCAATTTCAATGTCATTAATAAAACTGCACTGGAACATAGCCACTCTCATTCAATTATGTACCGTCTCTGGCTGCTTTCACTCTACAATGGCAGAGCTGAGTTGCTACAACAGAGACATGCTCACAAAACCTGAAATATTTACTATCTGACCATTTACAGAAAAAATAGGCCAATGTTCATGGATGGGAAGCCTTAATGTCGTTAAGACACCAAAACTCCCCAAACTGATCTACAGAGTCAATGCAATTCCTATCAGAATCCCAGCTGGCTTCTTTGTAAAAACTGACAATCTCACCTTACAATTCACATGGAAATGCAAGGGGCCCAGAATAGCCAAAACTACCTTGAAAAAGAACAAAGTTGGAGGACTCACATTTCATGATTTCAAATTGTGATACAAAGCTACAGTAGTCAAGACTGTACTGCTGGTAGAGGACAGACGTAGAGACTAATGGAACAGAATTGAGAGCCCAGAAATAAATCCATACACTTACGGGCTGTTAGTTTGCAACAAAGGTGCCAGGACAGCTCCACAGGGGAAGCACAGTTTTTGCAAAAAGTTGTGCTGGGAAGTGGATTTCCACATGAAAAGAATAAAGCTGGACCCTTACCTTACACCTTATATAAAAATTAACCCCAGATGGATTAGACCTAAATGAAAGAGCTAAAACTCTAAAATTCTTAGAAGACACAGGAATAATAAATCTCTGTGACCTTGAATTAGGCAACAGTTTCTTAGAATGTAACACCTGAAGTACAGCAACCAAAGACAAAACAGAAAACCGGACTTCATCAAAAATAACTTAATATTGTTAAAAACTTTTAATTAACTTTTCAATATAACTTTTTTGCTTCTAAAGTCATTATTAAGAAAGTAAAGAGAATACCCACAGAAAGGAAGAACATTTTTACAAATCAAATCTGATAAGGGTCTAGTATCCAAGATACATAAAGAACTGTTACAATTTAACAATAAAAAGACAACCCAACTAAAAAATGGGTAAGAATGAGGACAAGGACTTCAAACTAAGTGTAAGACCTGGGTCCCTAGTCTTACTGTTGAACTTCCTCAAACAGACTTCTTGTCTTATAATAAACTCTTACCTGTCTAAGCGACAGCAGCAGGGTTTGTTATTGCAGCTGAATACAGCCCTGATAACACCTACTGTAAGGACATGATGTCGGGCTTAGCAGGCAAAGATGGACAGGTCCTGCTGGCTCTACCTTCAATACTCAGTCACTTCGCAGTCACCTTGCCACTGCCAACATCCTGACAGAAGCCACCATCACCTCTCACCTGACGCTGCAATAGCTTCCTAACTGGTTTCTCGCTTTTGCCCATGCTCCCCTTCCCTCCCTCTGTGCTCAGCCATCCTGCTACACCCATGACCTGACCAAACCCTCCAGTGACTTCCTATGTCACTTGGAACAAAGGCCGATGTCTTTATCCCACCTACAAGGATCTGGTGTGGTGCTGCCTCTCCCTCTCTGACCTCACCTCCTACCAAGACACCCTTCCACTAATTCAACCAGCCATACTGACCTCTTTGCTATGCCTCAAACGGGGGCTCAGGATCTGCCCCCTGCCTGGAATGCCCTTTCTCCACACCCTCACAGCTCTCCTTGACTCGCTTCAGGTGTTTACTCAGAAGCCACCATCTCAGCGGACCTCCCCTGGACACCCTATCTAAACTGTCAGCACCTATTAACCCAGGCATGTCCTAGTCCCCTTCCCTGCTCTGCTGCTCCTCCTCCGTTTATCACTGTCTAGTATACTGTAGGTTTTACTTCTCTAACTTGTTTATCGTCTACGTCTCTCACCAAAATGAAAGCTTCGTGAGTGCAGAGCTTTATCTGTTCCCGCTGTAGCCCTACACCTATCAGAACAGTGCCTGGCACACATTAGATGTCAGTAAATACTTACTGATGAGTGAGTAATTCAAGTCAAGGGAAAACTGGTGGGAATCTAAATGAGAAAGTGCCAAAGGCAAATGTCAACTGCCTCACAATTGCAGTTAAGGACCCTCCCAACCTCTGGCACTCCCTGCATGCCAGGCCCACCCAGGACCCCTGCACCCTATATGCTGAGCCAAAGAACAGGCACTTGGATACTTCAGCTGAAGCCCACCCATGGCTGTGACACTGCAGCTCCACACAATAGAAAGCAAGAGCCATGAACATAGAACAGGTACTTTCTCAATTGCTTTTAGCCCATCTTACTGTGGGGAATCAATTTTTCAGCTGAAGCATTTGAACGGAAATGCAAAGATCCACACTGTAAGCAGTGAGGTTGTTACTCAAAATTTATGAATACCTGCTTTCTCAACAGCAAAGTACATAAAATATATTTATGCATTTTATTTAAAATAACTATAAATTGGGGGGAGAGGGGTTGTTGCTTTGTGAGGGGTGAAAAGGATAACCATTGCATTGTTCTATACACCTGAAACTAATAATAATAAAAAAATTTTTAATAAAATAAAATGCAAAGCAAAAATAAAATAACTATAATTAAGCCTAAAGCAGTTGACCTCAGGGCATGCTAAGAACCTTTAAAAGTTACTATTCTGAAATACTTTGTTTTTAAGTAATTTAAATTCTATCTTCATATATGCACGGATTATATCTGGAAGGATTCACAAGACGGAAGTAGACAGAACTGCTTGCCTCTGGGGATGGAGTTAGGCACTCAGGAGAAAGGAGTGGGAGAGAGAATTTTAATTATTACCTATCAGAATTTGTGTCATATTAATGTATTACTTTTGCAAAAATAATAGATAAAAATTTTTAAATAAGTCAATCACACATTACCTTAAAATAATGAAACAAAATCTACTTTTGTCAAGCCAGCTTTACAAGGAAACCTCTTTATACCCATATTTTGAAGATAAGCAAATTCAGGCTCTGTCAAATCAGCATAAGAAACAGAAAGCAGGTTTTTAGATTGACGGAGTGGAGGCGTCACCAGGTGGCAGTAAATCTTGCAGAGCCCCCCTTAGTGCTTCCCGTGTTTACACAAGACGCATACACGTGTGAACATCCATGACATCTACTTCCTGGGGAGGCATTACAATAAGTCTCAAATGGATTATGATTATTACAAATTACTTGCTCTAGAGATTAGTCAAATTGCTTAAAAAAATTTTTTTTTCTCTAAGCATCAAAACAAGTTTTTCACCTCTTAGAAGAAATAATAATTTATTTCTAAATTTTATTCTAAGAGATAAGCTAACATTACTCCCAAGTCGTCATTTTCCAATTAAACTCTCGGGACACAGCAAAAATCATATCAGAAACATAAAGAAGAAACATTACTAAGAGTGGGTCAGCCTTAACAGAGCGAGCTCCTTAAAAGGTCTGCTTCTGGAAAAATGTCCCCATTAAATACCATTCTATATACCTCCAGGTCAGAAGTGTAATGCCCGGAGCTGAGACAGGCCTGAACTGCAGCGACGCACCCCCTGAACTCTGCTCAACACAGCACAGGAAAACTTCAGGAAACAGTACGTGGGTTCTGTTAGAGGGTGCTATTAGGGGTCTCTCTTTTCCTCTTTCAAAAACTGTCTCGGGCACAAGCAACAGAGACCCCCCCCCCGTTTCATCCAAGCAATACCAGGATGTCGGCAGTGAAGGGGACAGGGGACGTCCGTGGGGTGAGCAGACACCCACGTTCTATCTAGCAGGCTGGATTGGACTACAACACCGGTAAAACGCACATCATTCACCGCGCGCCCAGCGGGGAACCTCTCCCTCAGCAACGTGTCGTTTTTATTTCCAAGTGAAAACAGGCCATTAACTTCAGTCAACTCTTTCTAATATTTAAGTCAATTTGATTACTTCTCACTCGTTAATAATAATAACCATCTACGTAGGGTCACCACTTACTTGGCAACCACAACTCGGTCAAGTGCGTGCAGACCAAACCCTGATGCTTAAAATCCTGTTACTACCACTGTGATTCCCAAACTAAGCGAAATGTCTCGAGAATGTGGAAGTACAGCCTCAAGTCACACAAGCTGTCTCAAGGGCCCCTGGCAAAAAGAATCTCCCCCAGACTGCGCCCGCCCCGCCCCGCCCTCCCAGCCTAAGGCATGACGTCATGCACTGTGCCCACAGCACTTCAGCTCCAACTCCTAGCTCCCCGCGAAGCGCCCTGCGCCCCCAGCCCTGCTCTCCCTCGCAGACTAGGAGAGGGAGCGGAAGTGGCCCGGGGAAGCCAGGCGCGACGCGCTTTGGGCGCCGCCAAGTTCTGCTACCCACGCAGCCCGGCCTCCAGCAACACAGAGCAGTAAGTTCTTTCCCTAACTTGGCACCCTGGAAAAGGCAGGGCACAGGCCCGTGGCCGCGTCGGCGCCTTCTGGAGAGGCTGTGCCTGCACGCGCAGGCACCGAAGCCCACGCGAGGGGCCGGGGGAGGGGCCGGGCCGGGATGCCGCGGCAGGCGGGGCAGTGGAGCTGTGCGCGGGGCGGCCCAGTCGCCGCGGGGCCCCGGTCCTCAGGGGGAGCTGCGGCGGGCCCGCACTCACGGTCGGTGCAGCGGCTCCTCGGCCACGGCCGGGCCGGGCGGCAGCGGGGGAGGCGGCGGCTGAGGCTGAGGCGGCGGCGGCGGCGGCGGCGGCTGAGGGGGCTGAGGCGGCGGTGGCGGCTGCTGCTGCTGCTGCTGCTGCTGCTGGAAGGACTTGAGGGACTCGAAAGCCTTCATCAGCTTTTCCAGGGTCGCCATGGCGGCCACCCGCCCCGCGGGGACCGCCCCCGGAGTCCTCGGGCCGGCTCGCGGCGCCGCTCAGCAGCGCGGCAATGAATGGGGTTCGGGGCCGCGGGCAGGAGAGGAACCGAAACGCCCGGCCATCTTGGACCCTTCCCGGCAGCCCCCGCGGCCCAGCGTACCGCGACGTTCCGCCGGCGGGGCGGGGCCATACCGGGCCGCCGGAATTGACAGCCCGAGGCGGCGGCCTCTGCCAATGGCCAAACGAAGCGCTAGCCCGCCCTCCTTCGTGCCCACCAGATCACCTCCCAGAGCTGACGCTGCCACAGACATAACCGCGCCCCTCCCCTGCGAGGGCGCGGGGCACGCCGGGGCGGGGCACGGCAGTGTGGGCGGGACCCGGCGCTGAGGGGCGGGTCACTACAGGGGGCGGGACTGGGGCGGGGAGCGGCGCTGAGGGGCGGAGTGGAGCGATGCGGGGCGGGGCGGGGCTGTGATGGGCGGGGCGCGGCTATGAGGGCGGGACGTGGTGATGAGGTGCGAGGCGCGGCTTTGAGGGGCGGGAAGGGGTGGGGATACCAGTCGCGTCCCCCTCACTCGGGAAGGAACCTCCGCGGACGCCTGGGTTCACAGGGATGCCCGCCTGGGCTTGGGCCAAAGGTTCCACGGGGCGTCCCTGCCCACCCGTGCCAGGACTGAGGAAGGGGTCGCCGGACTGCCCTGACGGGAGGAGTCGGGGCTCTTTCTGTGAGGAGCACGGAGAAGTGAGTGAGCCCAGCGCAGAGCTGGGGTCCGGGAGATCGGCGGAGACCTGCAGGATTGGTCTCTCTGCTGGAGGGGAGCCTGGGTGTGGCCCCCAGAGAGGAGAGGGAGCCCGTGGGGGGCGCGAGCCAGCGGGCAGGCGCCTCCCGGAGTCTGCAGCCTGCGGGGACGGAAGGCCTGTCTGGTCAGTGTGCGCTGCCCGTAGAGGCTGTGTCTGCGCAGCGGGAAGGAGCCCTCCCCACCGCAGGAGTGACCGCCCGCCGCGACGGGGACCCCTATCCCACAGGTCTGTGCGCACCGCCTGCCTGGGGCGGCGCCGAAGGGTCCAGGCCCCGGGGCCTCACCGCCTCCCGGGGAGGCAGGTGAGCAAGCAGGGGGCACGGAGGTCGGCGGGGGGTTGGGGGCAGGAACTGGGCTGGCCCCCGAGAGCGCCGCCTGCGGGGAGGCCGTGCGTGCAGTAGGGGCCCTCCAGAGCCCGCTCAGGGCAGCGCCCTGTCCTGGGCCACGAGCCACAGCTCCACCCTGTCAGCGGGTCAGTTGTCCCAACAGTCGGGGAACAGAGGAAACCCAGCATCTATTGTCCCCAAGGGCATGACAACAGCCCCCGTCAGGGGAACACCGCACGCACCGGCCTTGAGGTCCCAGTTCCCCGATGCTTGTGAATAAAGGCCCGTGCCCGTGTGCCAGGCCGTGTACCGGACCCCAGGCTGGGCAGGCCACGCCGGCGTGGCCCGGGGCTGTCAGGGGCGGCGGTAGCCCCAGGGGCGCCCTCCTGGATTAGGTTGCAAAGGTGAGGCTCGCCTTGCCCGCCCCTCCGCGGCCCTGGGCTGAACACGCGCCCACGAGGCCCACGTGGCCGACGGCGTCCAGCAGCCCACACACGAGCCTCGTTGAGATGTGGGTCCTGCCTGGTGGAGCTTTCCAGGGAGAGGCAGCTGGCTCCTGATCGGAGGCTTTCGGGAGGCCGGGAAGTGGAGGTCCCGGGCAGGCGGGGGCCCGCTGCCCGACCCACGGCACCCGTGAGACTCCGCGTGTGGGTAAGCCACAGTGCTCGGTCACACAGCAACAGGTAAGTGTCAGTGCACGGGCGCTGCTATGACAAGGCACCACTTGCGGGGGGTCAACAGCAGAAACTCCGCGTCTCCCAGTCCTGGAGGCCGGAAGTCCGAGACCAGGGCGTGGGCAGGGCCGCTTCTCCGTGGCCATCGCCCTCCCCGCGCCTTCACGTGCTCTTCCTCTCGGGTTCCTAATGCCTTCTTGTCCTACTGGGTTAGGACCCACCCTGACGAGCTCATCACAGGGCCTCTCTCCAAATGCAATCTCGTTCCGAAGTGCTGGGCGTGGGCTCTCAGCGTGAAGTTTGAGGGGACACGTTGGAGCCCATAAGAAGCAGTAGCGTCACCACCTGATAGCCACTCTGGCCTCCTCCTTCAGTAACAGGACCGCAGTTCTTATCTGGGCCCTTTCCCACTTAGTTAAAACGCTTCCTTTCCCACCCCTCCCTTTGAGCTGGCTGTACCACGTGACTAGATGAGTGCTAGCCGGTGAGATGGAAGCAGAAGTGATACGTGTTAGTTCTAGAAAGTCGTCTTAGGAGAGGTTCGCCTGTTCTTCCTCCTGGAATGCGGCTGTGTTGGGCGGCACCTGAGCAGTCATTCTGGGTCATGAGGCCGAGAGCCACATGCTGGGATGGTGGAGCTGGAAGGAGCCAGGACCCAGAGGACTGGGTGGGGACGCCAGCCGGCCTGGCCTGCCCACCTCATGAACGTCCGTGAGGGTGAAATCTACGTCTACTTTGTGTAAGCCACTGTTCCTTGGGATTAGCCCATTTCTGTGCTCCTAAACCACCTTCTGACCAGTCCACATGGGTTACGGGTCACTGAGACCTTACATGGCCACCGGACATGGCTGCTTCAGTCATAGCAGGGAGAGTCATCTGCCTGAAACTTACTGTAATCTTGACAAGAAATCTTATAAGAAAGCCTTCTAGAAAGGGACTGTCAAGACACAGATGTTCTTAAGTTCAGAGAAAAGCTTGGCACAGTCTCCAAAGCAGATAAAGATTAACTCACTCTGCTGGGTGGACAATTTGGCACCATGTCTCCACAGACTTAAAACTGACTGGGCACAGCCCCCGAATAGCAGGCACTTCCAGTCATTTATTCTAGGAAAACAATCGTGTGTGTGTGTGTGAGAATGGTCACTACAGCAACATTTAGGACCAGCAAATTGGAAACTTAAATGCTGGGCAGAAGGAGACTGGCTACATGAATCAGGATATATATCCGTGACAGAAAACGGGACAACCATTCAAATCCTATCGTAGAAGAACATTCGTGAGCCAGGAAAAGGTTTACAATACATTAGCAGATTACACTGTGTGTAGCATGATCCTCTTTTTCTTAAAGAAAAACAGTACACATATACTTACTTACAAGAGAGCTGGTCGCCAAATTTGTAACAGTGACCCTCTCTGGGCAGGGCACTTAGGGGATTTATATCTTAACTTGTGTGCTTGTCTGTAGTTGTCAACTTTCCAGCAGTGAATGTATATATTCAGGGGGAAAAACTCATAAAATAGGTTTGGGTGGGGAACAAAAAATGAAACCCTAGCAACACACTTGGGATGCATGCTGCCTGGGAGGAAAGGCAGATATTTTAAAACAGCCACCATAAGTGGGGAGCACTCCAGCTGGGGGGCTGGCACCCGCCCTGAACCCAAGACCAGGTGGAAGTCTGTGCAGGGTGAGGCCTGGGCCCAAGAAAGGCGGAAACATGAAGGAGAGCCAAGAGGGACAAGATGAGTGGACCAGCAGCTCCTGGGGGCACTCTGGTGGCTCCTCTACTTGTCTCCTGGAGGGTTCCTCCCAATTTAGAGGGTATTCTTGCTGTGTATTTTAATTCTACATAAAGACATGCACACACTGCAAAAGACACAGACATAGTCCTTGTTTTGAACAGTCAACATTTATTTAAATGACTCCCACATTTGCCATTTTTATCCCTCTTCATTCCTTCCTGCATCTCTGATCTTCCATCTGGGATCATTTTCTTCTGCCCAGAAGACACCCTGTAGACTTTCTCTTACAGTGGATCTTCTATTGCTGAAATGTCTGTTTCTGTTTATCTGAAAATTGCATTGTTTTGCATTCATTCTTAATGGATTTGGGGTTGGGTATAGAATTAAAGGTTGGCAGATAATCCCTGTCAGAAGGTTAAATATGTGGACACCACTCTCTCCCGCCTCTCATTCTTGCTGTTGAGAGGTCAATTGTTGATTTGGTAGCTGCTCCTTTGAAAGTAATGTTTCTTTTCCTCTGGCTGCTTTTAAGATTTTCTCTCTTTGGCACTCTGTGGTCTCACTGACCATGTCTGGGTATGTAAGGCCAGACCAGCTAGTTAACAGGATGACCCTGGGGATCCCGTTCAGTGATGTAGTGCAGGCAGCTCAGCAGGAAGGGTTCAGAGGGCTGGCTCATCCCAGTCCTGCAAAGCTCTGGACTGCACGTTCCCCTGATGAAGGATGTCCAGGCTCAGGACGTTCTTTTCACCAGCAAAGCCATTCCCCACAGCGTGAGACCTGCCATTGCTGCATGACTGGCCCAGTGTCCCTGTTCACTTCTGATTCCCCATACACAGAGTGACAGGGTCCCTTCTCCTGGGGTACTACCTATGATGTGACCCGCTGGGCCCAGAGCTGACACAACTCTCCGTGGATGACAAGAGCTTGGGGGACAGGTGATTAGGCCCTCTGCCTCTAAGTTTCCCTGTAAACTCTCATCCGTGCCTGCACCACGTATTGTCACTCTCCCAGTTTGCCCTAACATTGGGATTTCCTCTCATTTAATCCGTTCAGGACTAGATGGGTTTGGGATTTGTGGATTGATGATGGTTTTCATGTTTGGGGAAACTCCAAGTCATTATCTCAAAATACTGCTGTCTTGTTCTCCCTCTCTCTTCCCAGTGCTCCAGATAAATGTGTATCAGGTATTATCTTCCGTTTTCCTTTTTTTGGACGCTCAGTGCTTTATTCTGGATAGTTCCATCTGACTTAGTTCTCTTTTTAGCTTATTCTATTGTTGGTAAACCTTTGTTTAACCCTTAAGTTCTGGAATTTTGTAGTTTTCAGAACTAGAACTTATACTTAATTCTTTCTAAAGTATGCTATGTCACTTTTTATAGTTTCTAGTTCCCTGCCAAAATTTTCGAGCTTTGCAAGTTTTCTCCTTAAACATAAGCATAGTTACTGAAGAGTCTGTCTCATATATTAATATTTCCATTAACTAGAGTCCCTGAAGGTGTTTGTCATGTCTGAAGCTTCTGCTAATTGTCATTTGCATTGCCCCATCTTGTGCCTGGTTTATCTTTGCTTGTATACTAGACATTGTACTTGAAAATTATTATGGAAGTCATTTGAAGTTTAAAGCATTACCTTCCTCTAGGGGAGATTTCCGTTTGCAATGCTAGGCTCTTTGGGACACTAGAAGTCATAGGTCACCTTCATTCAAGCTCCAGTTTTGTTTTGTTTTAATATTTTTTTATTGGGGAATTGGGGGATGGGAACAGCACTGGGGAATTGGGGGAAGGGGGACAGAAAAGTTGCTGTCGTCTTAGCTGTAGAGGGCAGTGTCACTGGCCCTCATATGTGGGATCCGAACCGGGGCCCTCTGGCGTCCCAAGCCAGCTCTTAATCATCGCGCCACTTGGCCAGCCTGAAGCTCCTGTTCTGAAGTCCTCTGGGCCACCCATATTAGAGCTGACTAATTCCGGGCCACCCTTATTCTCAGGTGGACTGAAGCCCAAAGTGGAGGGTGAACTGCCTGGGGCCCCAGTCTTTGCATGCCGTGGATTTGACGTCTGTTCCCCTAGCCTCGAGTAGCTCAGCCTCTTGGTTTAGGACCCCAAAAGCCCCCACAGCAGGAGCAGCCCAGGTGTTTGGCTCATCTCTCTGGCTTCCAGCCCTGAAAGTTGCTTACTCTCTTGATGTGTATATTTGCCTGGCTTTATTATTTTCATCAGGAGGGTAGGTGTGTATTCTCAAGCCCAGGGGTCCGCAAACTGCGACTAGCGAGCCACACGCAGCTCTTTGGGTATGTTCCGTCTCAAAAGTTTGCCGACCCCTGGAAGAGCCAATCCTGTCCCACACAACAATTTAAAAATTATTCGAGAGCCATAAATATATTTTTACATAATCACCATCACGTGAATAATATCCTTTAAAATTTTTATAAATGAAACTATGATAGTTTTATTTTCATTTTCAGTTTTACTTCAGAGCCACAGGTTGTGAGCCGCAGTTTGCTGACCCCTGGCGGCTCTTCCGTCTCAAAAGGTTGCCGACCCTGCTCTAGCCCATCCTTGCTGGGCATGGAAGTTCCTCCTATAAGTGTTAAATAAGATGTTATTGAAAGTGGTCTTGGAGTGGTAGAAGAGGGTAAAAGGGGTCAAATATATGGTGATGGAAAGAGAACTGACTCTGGCTGGTGAGCACACAATGTGAGAGTGTATTACAGAATTGTACACTTGAAACCTATGTAAATTTACTAACAATTGTCACTCCAATAAATTTAATCTTTTAAAAAGTGGTCATTTTTCTCTTATTCTTGATTTTAACACGAATGCCTCCAGGGCATACCCTCATCAGGTAAGATGCTGCTGAAAAATACATTTTATCATGCTGAAGAAGTATTTATTTTATTGACTGTATAAAAAAATGGATTTAATTTGGTCAAGTACCTTTATAGCATCTATGAAAATGATCTTTTATTTTTCTTTTGGATTTGTTAACATGACTTATATTCCTGGATTTCCTAATATTGAACCATCCATGCACTATAGTTTTTAATGTGTTGTTCGATTCTATTTGGTAATATTTTATTAAGGGCTTTTGTATTAATATTCATAGAGATTGGGTTTTTTTGTACAGTTTTTATATAAAGTCTTTATAACCTTTTGGTATCAATTTGTACTCGCCTTATAAAAAGGATTGGATGTTTCCTTCTTTTCCTGTGCTCTGGAACGTATACATCTCACTGAAAATATTTGCTCTTCCAAGGTTTGCTGACCTTCTCTGTCAAATTATCTGAGCCTGGTGCTTTCTTTCTTGAAGGATAACTCTCTTGACAACAATATGTCTTTAGATTTCCTGTCTTACCTATGGTTAGTTTTGGTAAATTATGTTTTCCTAGAAATGCATTTTATCCAGGTTTTAAGTTTATTTTCATACAGTTGTACAAAGCATTTTTTTGCAAAGTATTCTTTATTTTTAATTTCCTTTCTCTGTGATTTTTCTCCCCTTGTTATTTCTTTTGTGCATTCATGTTTTCTCCTTTTTTTTCCTTGACTATGTTAGACATTGATTTATTTTGATTTTTTAACACAGAACAAAATTCTTTATTATATGAGTTATAGTTTTTCTGTTCTATAGCCCTTAACTTCTGCTTTTATTCCACTAATTTCTTCTGCTTTCCTTCAGTGTTTTTTCTATCCTTTTGAATGAGAGGCTCAATTCATTTATTTTCAGGTGCTTATTTTTCTTGGTAGAACCAAGAGCTACAGATGTTCTCCTTGAGCACTTGTGTCCCTTACACTCAGAATTGTTATCATTTTTAGAAGTCCTGCCATTCTGATTACAGATCGTCCTTGACCCAAGAGAATGGTACTAGAGGCTGTCAAAGTTCCAGGTGCCAGGGCCTTTCTGCTTTCTAATTGTTATTAATTCATAGGTTTATTTGTAATCAGATACTCTTGACTATATCTCTTTTCAAATTTTTTACTAGGATTTTCTTTGTGACATAGTATATGGTCAATTTTCATGACTGTTCCATGGGCACTTGAAAAGAAGGTGCGTTCTCTATCATCAAAATAGAATGTGTTATCTATATATCAATATACAGCATGTGTAAGTATCTATATATGTACACGTACACACACATGCACCTTACCATGCCTGTTAGGTCTGCTCCACCTGGAATTTACTTCTCAACCCTGCTTTATGAAAGCTATGCCTATTACTTGGGGAGTAGTTCTTTCTGACCATTTTATCTTCTTTGAGAATTGTACCTTCAACATTACATGTCCTTTCTGTTTGGTTTATGCTTTCTGGCCCGGATTCCATCTTGCCTGATATTCAAATTGCTGCTTTATTTTTGTTTGTACTTTCCTTGAATGCATTGGTTAGATTTTAACCTCTTTCTCTCACTGTTTTAGGTGTGTCTCTTGGAGACAGCACAGTTGGGTTTTGTCTTGTGACCCATTCTGATATCTGTCATTTTAATTGGTGAGTTAAGACCATTTACCCATATTGTATGGTATGTTTAGTCTTAGTTGTGTCAAATTATTTTCTATTACGACTTTAGATACAGACCTCCCACACGATAGCTCCTTTTCTTTCCATAATGCATTCTGAAATGTCTCTCGAGGAAAAGAGGGAGAAATGTATCCAGTGAGTTGGAGCTGGAATTGGTAAATCACAGAGCAGCCACACCCCAGAAGGACCGACTGAATGGCGTGTTGGTGTGTGTGTGGCAGCGAGGAGGCGGGGAGTCTGGGGAGTGTCCCGGAGCTCTGGCTTTACCCTTGTCCTCAACCTCTTTCAAAGCAACATTTGTAATGACAGAGAACGCCTGGGTCACAATTTTGAATGACAGAACACTCGGCATGCTGGACTCCCCGGCCCACACAC